GTGTGCCAGAAAGTCTCTTTTCCCTCCTCAGGATATCACTGATGCTGTCGCCAAAATACCTGGCAAGCTTCATTTATAGAAAGAGCACCCTGATTCTTGTTGGGTCTTCCTACAACCATCAACATAGAATCATACACAATAGACATTTGACATATGAAAATAATCACAGAAAAATTAGTCACAAGAGCCTATCAATAGATGGATGGCTATGTCAATTGTGTATCTTCACATGGTGGAACACCACCCAGCCAAGAGAAGGCACAAGCTACAGCAATGTACAAGCACAGGGGTAAAACTCACAGCCATCGTGTGGATTATAAATCAGACACAAAAATCCACACTCCATCCTATTCATGAGAAATCCTATCCCAGGTCAGTCTGTGCTGTCTGAAGGCAAGAGAGTGAACATCCCTTTGAGGGAAAATTAATGAGCAGAAGGAGGCAGGAAGGAGGGTGTCGGGGAGCTGGGCTTCTTCCCCATCCCCCAACTGGTGATCAAACCCAGGACCTTCTATATTTAGAAAAGTCCTCTATAACCAAGATATATCCCCCAGATAACCTCCCTTTTTGGAAACAGGACCCCACTACATAGCTCAGTCTGTCCCTTCTTTCACTCACAGTTCTCCTACCTCAGCCCCAAGAACAGTTGGAATCACAGGCATGCCAAAGGCTCTGTTTCTTCACTCTGCGTGTGGAGCACCAAGATGCAAATACCTGAGTTAGTAGGGAGCCTGCACAGACTTCTGGGAAATACTCTAACTGAACCCGGGGATGTGTTGAGCTTCATAGGCCACCATATTTGTGAGCTGAGGAATCACTCAGCTATCTTATTCTACTCCACTCTCCCTCTGTGCCCCGATCCTATGCAGCCTTGGCCTCGCTCTTCCGTCATCACCTCTCCTTTCCCACCACAACTGTGGCCCGGATCAGGGGCTCACAGGGAGCCAGAGTAGCTACAGAAAGTCTCAAAACTTTTGTGGGAAGGCCCTACCACCGTCCATCCTAGGACCTTTGAACATGTGCTCCTTCCCCTGGACCTTCTCTCTTTCCTCTCTCTGCCCCAGCCCCGGCGGAAGCCCTACTTCCTCTCTCTGCCAGTCACTCCACTTCCATCACATGACAGGTTGACCTGCCCCTCTACCCCCTCACTCCTGGCACAGTTACCAGGGAAGGACCATTTGTTTGAGTCCTCATGTCGGTCCTCTTCATCTCTCCCACCCAATGGACGGTCCCCTGGGGCAAGAGCAAGTGCTGTCTGATTTCTGCCTTGTCCCCTGCTCCTCCCTGATGCCACTTGTTCAAAACTACTTGAAACACCATGGAGCAAATGAACAGTCAGGCTCCTCCTATCTTGCAGGGGATAAAAAGCAAAAATTGCATTGGGGGACAAAACTCCTACCCCTCTGGGGCCAGGACACCTGAGTGAGACAAAGCAGTGGCTCTGGAATGCATGGGAGGTGTGACATTAGGGAAGTCACTTCCCTTCTATGAGCCTAGGGGTGCTTATGTGTGGAACACAAAGCAGGTGGAGCAGAGCCAGGGTAAATTTGGAGAGACACACGACGGTGTTTGTGTGTGCCGCAGCTGCGTGGGCATGCATACACTCCTCCTGAACAAGAGCATCCGTAGCTTCCGTCACCTTCTCAGCAGGCTCTGTGGCCACTAAGGTTCAGAACCATGAATCAAGGCCTTGTTCAGCTCCGGAGCTCTAGAATTCTAGCAAATGAGAAGAAAAGGAAGCAAGCTAAGCACATGATGGGAACTGGATTAAGCAGAGAACTGGCCATCCTATAGGATCTCACGACAGGGGTGACTGCAGGGCTGCTAACCTTTGGGTGCTCCAGGCTGGGAGAAGCAGAGGCCAGAGGAGTAGCCCCAAAGGACGGCCTTAGGAGGGAGGAATCAGCCTGACATCTCTTTCTGCAGCTCCCATCACTATCAGACAAGCACCCACTTGTCTTGGATACAGCACAGAGTGAGGAGGCGAGGTTGGCACCTAGAGATGCCCGCCAGGCCCTTTGGCGCCCAGGTCAGAGAAGCTTGGCGGGAACACTCAGGAGGGATGCCAGTTCCTCATCGGGCCCCCATAGGAGCCTCAGGAGGGCTCATCATGTACAAACTGTGAGGGCCAAAGAAACCAGCGGAGGGCCATGAGACGGTTCAGCTGGCAAAGGCACCTGCTGCCAAGCTTGATGCCATGAGTTTGATCCTGGGGACCCACATGATAGAAGCAAGACGGGACTCCCACAGGTTGTTCTCTGGCTTCCACACATGCACCATGGCATGTGCACAGAGCGCACACAAAATAGCTTCTTTTAATTAATAATTTTTAAAAAGTCAGCTGAGGGGTATAGGATCCAAGCTCAAGACAGTGCAAAGCCGGAGCAAGCAGCACCCTCCAAACAGGGAGGAGGGGCAGGTCTCAGATTCAGGCCTGCGGTGTAGTAAGAACTGCAGAAACAGAGTGGGTGGGGGTAAGGAGAGGGGGCGCCTTGGCAGAGTGAGGAAGACAACTGCATAGAAGACAGGGCTGCCACAGTGGGCAAAAGGGGCTCGTGACCAGAACAGCAAGGCTGAGAAGGGAGTCAGAGACATGAGCCCAGGCTGCCTCGGGGTAAGAAGTTGGCCCCGGAATGGGAGGCAGGAATGGCAGCTGGCACGTGTCTGTGGCAGTAGGAGGGTCCTGGCTGCCAGCCCAGATGCGTGGTAGCTTCTGAGCTGGGTTCCTGTGAGGGTGAAAGCCCAAGAGATGTTTATCCAGAACAAGAACGTGAGTAGCACACCTCCACCAGCAAGGGCCCCAGTGATAGGCACTGGCTGCTTTTTCCTGAGCTGCATAGTCTCCTGAGAGTTACCTGTGAATGGGGTCCTGGCTAAGAAAAGAGAGCTGTCCGCCCAGAAGCCCCTGCTTGAGCCAGGATCTGGGCACTTGGCTGAGATGGAGCCTTATCCATGCAGATAAGGGAGGGAATGAGTCACAGCAAGCTATCCCAAGAGGCCACTGGAAAACCAGCTCATCCAAATGCAGACAGACACTTGTCCCCTAACACAGACATCCCTGTTCCTGTCGCTGTCACACAGGGCACATGCAACAGCAAAATCCCTCCCTCCTCCTCCCCTGAGTCACCAACCTCCAGTGCCCCTGGTTCTTCTCCCGGATCTCAGCCCCAATTACCCATCCCTGCCCACCCTCACATGCCCAATGTGCATCCTTCACCATGCCAAGCTGCAGGGAGAGCGGAAGGGAGTAAAAGTCCTAGGCCCACAGGCAGAAAGAGAGGAGAAGGGTTGGGGACCTGTCTGAAAAGCAGCAGGCAAAACAAGGAAGTGGATGGTCTCAGCCAACCAGGGGAGGTAAGAGCAACAGTCCATCCTGGAGTGTGAGATGCCTCCCAGGGCTCTCCAATTCCCAAACCCCAGGGAACAGTTCAGACCTACCCCCTAAAGGAAAGCCCAGAATTTGAGATAGAAAGGGCCACTGTCTCACCTCCCCCCGGACATCTTGCATGACAGGAGTGGGAAGCTCTGAGCCAAGGGTGGCTGGGTGGGTGGGTGGGTGGGTGGGGGTAGGGGGAGGGACGCTATCCTAATGACTCTGGAGGGACCTGCTGCTTAAGAGCTCAATCATGTCACCCAGTCCTCTGTCCTGCCACACCAGTAATGTGGAATGCCCAATTCCTACTCCCAGGTTCCCTAAGTCCTTCCCCCAGGTTCCATGAGAATTCAGCTAGGGCACCAGTCACTGGGATACAGATGACAGTTCCATTTCCAAACCTGTCCCTCACCATGCCCAATCACCATCTACTGCCTTGCGGGATAGAGTACTTCATTTACAAGTTCCCAACCCTGTACCTGTGGCTGTGGTATAAAACCACAAACAGGCTCTCATCTGTGCCCCAGAGGGACAGCCAGTCACGTACAGAGGGGCCTCCAAGGCACTAGGCACACTCTTGCAAACGTGTAAGTACACACAGTCGCATTGGCCTTTATGCTGTCCATAAGGAGGGACTGAAATGTGGGTGCAGGATGAATTTGGAGTAAACCCCGACTCTGATGGCCTCCCATGGAAAAAGAACTGTAGGGCCATAGTTCAGCAGACAATCCCATGCGGTTGCTCTTCCCGCCCCCTTGGAGAAAGCGGTTGTGACCCTGCCGGGCTGGAGTAGAGTTGGCCAGTCCCTACTAATACAAAGCACTTTCTTTCTCCAGGAGAAAAAGGCTACGCAAAGCCTGCCCACCCGCATCAGCCACCTGCTGGTCATCGCTATTTTGCCTCTGGTCATTTCCCACATCCAGGTTCTAAGACTCAGTCAGAAAAGGAGGGAGGAGAAAGGGGATGCAGAGCTAAATGCACCCCCCTCATGCCACCCACCCCTCCCGCCCCGACCCCCGCAGCCACCACCGGCTTCCCTGCCCTACCTCCGGCTCACCCACCTCCTCACACCCTGCTGCGGGCCCGGGCCAAGCTGGCTCAGAAGAGATCATGACAACCACCACTCTGCCTCCCCACCCAAGCTAAGGGGATGTTAACCTTTCCCTCCTTGACCCAGCACCCTCTGGTGGTTCCAAATTCTCACCTGAACTAAACTAATTACTAATTGTCTCTTGCCTGCTCCCCTTCTCTCCCTCCCTTCCCCTCCCCATGTCTCTCTGCCACTTTCTCTTTCCTCTTTCTTTTTGTTTGTTTTTGCTTTTTGTTTTAAGTTTGATTCGGGTTCAGGTTGTTTGAGAAACGATCTCACTATGCTGGCCCTAGATCATAATCTTCCCGCCTCAATCTCCGTAGTGCCTGATCACAAATCTGCCCCCAAAGTCTCACAGGTATTCGCCTTTCTAAGGCACCTTAAACTCAAGGACACCAGAAGCCCAGGTGTGACCTCCACGGAGCCGGCTGCAGGGCCCTCCCACGTTCCAACCCACCCCTTCCCAGACTCCCTACTGTCCCAAGTGGACTGGGCTCTGCCGCGTCCGCTGCCCACACCCAGCCCGCAGCACCCTACCTGAAGCAGCAGCCGCCTCCTTTGGGCTCGCACCGCACCCCCGGGCTCACAGCGCTCGGGCCGCTCAGGGCCCGGCGGAGTCCCGGGGGACTGCGGGCCGCAGGGGGGCGCGGGCTCGAGCGCCTCGCAGCACACCAGGCTCACGGTGCAGCCCATCCGGCCCGGCGCCCGGCGGGCCCGGGGCGGGGACGCGGACTACCCGCGAGCCGGTCCGCCCCCAGCCCCAGCGACCTCTTGGCCCCGGGCGTCTGCGACGTGGGGAAGGAGGGTGACGCCCCCGGCCCGCCCCGTCGGAGTCCGCCTCCGCCTCCTCCGCGACTCCGCCAGGCAGTGGGAGTGCGGGGGCCCTGCGAGGGGCGGCGACAGGGACGGAGGAGGCAGACGGTGGGGAGGGGACCGAAGGCACGGGAACGCGGGAGGGGCAGCAGCGTGGTCCACTGCCTGGGACAAGCTGAGCTAGAAGTGCGAGAAAGAGAGCGTCGGCGTGACCAGCGAGTAACTAAGAGACTGACACCAGAAAGGGGATCTGTAGGGGACAGAGACGGCGACAGGGAGGACGGGTGTGGGGAATAGAGTTCTGCACCAGGAAGAAAGGCGGGACGTGGAGCAGAGAACAGCAGGCTTGAGGATCGCTGTGCCCTGCTAACAGGTAGTTCGTCTACCTTGTAACAGTAGTTCTAGCAGTCCCTAACCCTCGGTTCCCAGTTACCAGGACCAGCCCCCAGGCCAGCCTAGCCTAGCAAAATGATGACCCCAGAATCAGGAAGCTGAGAGAGGTCAGCGAAGGGAGGCCGCCCACCTGGCGCTTCACCCGGAGTTTCACTTCCGTCCCTGGTAAGTGGGCGTCAGGGCTGGAAGGAAGGCACCCAACACTGACAAGGATGGCGCAGCTGGCTGGGGTAGAGGAAAGTGAAGATACTTGGTGATCATTTGTCCTCTCTCCACCTGTACCACCTCCAGTCCAGTGACAGGAACGCGTCCACTAGCGCCTCCGTCAGCCTCTTTCCGCCATCTGCTGGCAGCAAGACAGAAAGACAGGAGCAGGTGCCCGGGAAAGAAGGCCCCTGTCGGTTTTGTTTGACCACCACCTGCCCCTATGCCAGATCAGCTTGCGGGAGCCACCCATTCTGCCTCGGTGGTGCCTTAATCTTTCTCTACTACCTCTTCCTGGCCAGGGTTGGTCCAGCCCTCTCCAGGCGGGGTCTGAGTCACTCCCCAGGCAGGAGAACTGGAAAGGGCTGTGCAAGCCCACAGTCACAAGGGACATACCCAGGCTGCAGAACCCTGCTGCCCACACCCAAACCGGGCAGGCTTTTCCCAGGTGAGCACCGGGAGCCCCTGGGTTTGGGAATGGGCTAGAGGAATCCTGAAGGTCTGTGGAGAACGTCTGTCTAATTTTTGATCTGTAGATGAGGAAACCGGGGCATGGGAAAGAGTGAACAGTTGGAAGACAGTGAGTAACCAGACCAGCGTGGCCCTGCATCCTCTGACTCCCATCCCGGGACCCTATACCCTGCTATCCTATCCTCTCTTTTCTTCTTTCTCCTTTCCATCCACTGCCGTAGGCTGCTACCTCAGCCACAAATTCCATTGCTGCTGCCTGGGAGGCTGGACACCTGGGCTTTCGTCCTGGGCCTGACTTTGATGCCAGGAGCTCTGCCTAAACTCATCATCCCTCAAGGGCAACAGTGTCCCTTGCTGAGTCCCAGGACCAGTTGGAGGCAGAAGGAGAGTCCCACGAGAGAGAATGGTGGGGGTAAACCCAGGCGCTGCACTCGTCACACCCAACATCGGGTCCAGTCCTAACACTGCACCTCTACTTCTGCCTGCTTTCCCCAGGGAACACACATTTTCCACTCAGCTGGGGCTCCGGAAAGGATTAATGTAGGTCTCAAGGCGATGACACTGATGTTCTGGGGCTATCCAAGGGGAAAGGAGGCAGCAGGTCCCAGCAGGGTGTCCATAGGGCGCTGGCATTGTGCTCATACCAAGTAAACAGATCTGAGTTCAGCTTATTGCTTTGTGGTACTAGACTGAGATTTCCCCTCCCTGTGTCCAGTCATCTTGTATAACTTTGTTCTGGAGGCTACCAAGGGAATCGAATGAGATGAGGATGTCAGCAATGATCAGGGCGACCAATACCAGGGATGCTGGATACATGGGGGTCACAGTCGCATCTTTATACACTGGCCTTCAAGAAGTAACTTTGATTCCTTGCGGTGTACTTAGTAAACTATTTTTAAAGAAGGAAAGAAAGGAAGAAAGAGTTGGTTTTTTATTCCACGGGTTAACCCATTGTGTGGCCCCAGTATGCTCTCGCTCAATTCTAGACTCCCTTCCCATCTATATACATAAGGAAAGTGGGCAGCTGAACCCAGAGCATCTCAGGGAACCACATCACTCCCTAGTTTACATGGCAGAAGAGGAGACCATCCTACAGATCACCAGGAACCTGAAAAGTGAGTCTGGCCTGTGAAATTGTCTGGGGTTGAGCTGCAGGGGAAGTGAGGGGTCTGGAGAGCATCCCCCTTCAAAGCCAGACTCCCCGATGTCTGCTGTCTACCATCCTTGCAGATGCTGTCTCCGCCATCCTCCAGGGATACGGGGATGGGCAGGGGCCTGTGTCAGACACCAGCGCTGAGCTACACAGACTCTGTGGCTGTCTGGAGCTACTACTGCAGGTGGGACCATCCACTTCCCCCTCCTCTCCTCCCTTGTTCTTCAGCTTTGAATACTCAGGAGAGCTTTCCCAGAAATATATCCAGGCCACTGTCTTCCTTGGTTCTCCTTGCTTAGTGAGCAAATCTTTCATGACATAAACTGTCTTTTAGAAGCTAGAACTGGCCTTCATTTTCTCCTCATTTTTACCTCCTGAAGTCCTTGATTCCCGCCCTCCTCCTCTGACTTCATCTCCTGACAGTGAGCTGCACTTCTCCTATTCTGTCCCCATAGCACACCAAGATAGCACGGGGCCTTTCTTTTTTTTCTTTTCTTTCTTTCTTTCTTT